GGCCGTTGTACTTGGCCATTGTGGCCCGCATACGCTCGAGGGTCTGTTGCAGCTGCGCGGCGCGCTCGGGTCCGACAGTGATGCCGGGGGTCGCCGGCTGATGGGAGATGAGCTGGGCCGGGGACGGTGGGTCGAAACCGTACACGGTCTGGAAGGGGCTGGCGCCAGTGGCGGCGCTGACGGCCGAGTTGGCGGCGTACTCCGCGATGGCCAGGTGCTTGTCCCAGTCCGTCTCGTACCGGTCACTCAGGACGAGTAAAATATGCCTCAGCGTCCGTTCGGTACATTCGGTCTGGCCATCTGTCTCAGGGTGGCAGGCGGTGCTGAAGCAAAGCTCCATGCGCAACGCCCCGAAGAGCTCCTTCCAAAAGTGAGCTGTGAAGCGCGTGTCACGATTGCTGACGAAGACGGTGTGAGGCCGGGCAGGCGGTAGACGCGGTCCAGGAAGATATCTGCAAGCCCACTGGCAGTCACTTCATTGGTGGTAGGCGCGCAGTGCACCACTTTTGAGTGGTGGTCGACGAAGGCCATGATGGGGTCGCAGCCGCTTGGCATCAGGGAAAGCCAGTGAGGAGGTCCTAGGTCATGGCTTCTCAACGGTGGTCCAGAGTAGACAAGGCCACGGCAGACCAGGCTTAGGTGTCTGGACAGCATGTTGCGCTGGCAGACATGCAGGTGTGGACGGCTTCGTGGATGTTCTGCTCCATGCTGGACAAGGTTAGTGAATTTTCAAACACGCATCAGGATTCTCTTGACGACAGTGCGGTTTTAACTCAGGCATAATCTGCGCAGGATGAATGTATTTTGATGTAGTACAGGAGACTTGTGTGCACATGATGAAAGGTAGGTATCTGCAACGTCTGGTGCCGTGAGCAGGGCAGATTGGACCCGGCTGACAATTGAGTCTCATCCGTCTGCAGATTCATGCACCAAACAGAGAGAATGCTGTGCTGACAGAATAAGCCCCCTGTGGTAAAATCATATGGGAGTCCTATGAAGAAAAATGAACATTTGCAGCACGGTTAGGTCGCCCTGCCTCGGTACATTCCCATGCGTCATCAATCAGAAGCAGAGCACCAGGAGCTCCTGGGAGGTCCAGCTATGAGACACCTATGTTCTTACCTTGACTTACGTATGCCATAATAGTTTATAATCCCTCATCGCATAAGTTCCGGCTAGCTTGAGACGCCGTGGATCGGGAAGAGGCCAGGAGATAGCAACGAGAATCAGGTAAAGAAGGGGCTGGGTATGGGTTAGTCATCTTCCTATCGGAAATGACGCCTGCCAACCTCCTCGCTTAACAACATCACGATGGTGACATTTTCGACCGAAACTGGCACAGATCGACGTACATTAGCTGATCAAACTTCCGCATCTTCATTGACTGGACAAAGCAATGCAGCAGGCCGGATCAACTGGACTCGCCATGGAAGGTGAGACCCCACTTCCCTTTGTTCGGGGATGCTCTAGGGGATGCACTCGATACGCTGATACATACCAGTCTCCTTCCAATTGATCATTGGCCATCCTCATTCTCTGACAGGCGAACGGATCTCCGAGGTGGACGAGGCCATGCTCGCTGTCGCCGATTCGTTGTGAGGAAGGGGTGGGTGACCTGTGGCATGCTATGCAGCCCTCCTATCTTAGGATTCGTGGTACTGAACGATGTGATTTTCATATGTCTGTGTCTCATGCCCAGCCACCGCCTTCCCGCTCGCAAGGGCAACTTTTGGGTCTAGTGTCATTGGCGACAGGGCCGTGAAGATGGTCACTGATGTTGCGGACCAACAGCGCATCCCTCGAATCGACCTTACATCGATGGTGAGAGTGGTGGGAACCTTACGTGAAAGAGTGACCGCCAATTCTTCTCATGTAAATGAGAAAGCTCAGCTGGATCGAGCCTGCTCAGTCATCCCATAACTCTCTTGCCCTCCTTGCGCCTATAGATTGGTCTCTACCATACTGCGGGGCCCCAAGTCTTTGATAAAGTGCTGCTGTGCAGCTTTGACGGAGGATTCACTGTGGGACTGTCTTTGACAACGATTTTGACCCAAGTTGGAGCAACTCAGGAAGACATCGTCCTGACCATGGCGAAAACTTTGCGCGGCCTCCTGATGGTGTACGGTTTGTCATGCGCGATGCCGTTCTGCATCGGCGAGATAAACAGAGTGCCCATGGGCGTCTTAACGCTTGATGGCACCTTGGTCAGCTACAAAGAATGGTCCCGGTAAGGGGAGGTGTTCCGGGACCCAAGGGGGGTTTAGGGCGGGCATGGGTCTGTATTTCAATCGAGAAGCAGGTTGCGTGGCCTGCTGGAACAGTATTGCAGCGGTTCTGATCAGATTGTTTGCATTTTGAGGTTGGGAAGCCTATCCCCCTAGTTAGTGCACCATACATCTTCAAGTCGGGCCCTTACCTCACTCACGTTGCAGGACTGCTGAGAAGGACACACTGAAGCGCCTGGACGTCGCGCTCCAGCTGACCCAAATGGTGCATGAGGTGCACCAGCACAGGGTGAGATGCTTGTGCTGTGGGGTGTGCTGCAAGAACTGGTGGTATGTGGTCACTCCCTGAAGCACATGCTAAAGACTTGGCGCTCAGTGCCCTACACCCACCCACCCACCCACAGGTTGTGCATCTAAATCTTAGACTTGAGGCAGTTCTTGCTCGTAAGGATGTTGAGGGCAGACTGGTATATTTAACCGGACTTGAGTATGGTGAGGTCGGGCACGAGGTGTTCTGATTTGCCCTCCACAAACCAACACTACTTTGTGTTTGCAACACAGAGCAATGTGTCCTGCGTATTCCGGCATGCATCAATGTGAGGTATCAGTGTGATCACGCCATATACTGTAGCGCCCTCGACAATCTCTTGGGCGCCCATGCTCACCTGCCACTGGTACCCCTTGCCTTTGCAGCTGTACCTGTCGACGAGAATGGGCTCCGTCTTAGAGTTGGTGCCCTGCAGCCACTGATGAGGAAGTGAGTCGATTCGCAGGGCTGTTCAAGGGGTCCTCTGCTTCATTTGGTAGATGAGGGGATGTCAATTGTGCTTCACCCAAAGAATGCCCTATTGCCGGCTTTCCTTGTGCAGCATCAATGGCAAGTATGCCAGCCCCGAGCTGCTCGAGGGGGACGAGAAAGTGACTCCAAAGAGTGACGACTTCCAGCTCGGCATCATGCTGTACGAGCTGCTAAACAAGAAGACGCTGAAGAACTACTTCAGACATGCAGATGCCGCCTGTAAGTTGGGAAGAGCAGAAGATTCTGAAGCATGCTTAGGCTGTGTGAAAGATCCTCATCAATCACACAGTGTCCACCACTTTGATATTCTGCCTCACCATCCTTACACCACTGACACGCTCTGACACATGGGTGCCAATCTAGCAGTTCCTCATTCCCCTGCTTAAAAGCTCTTCAGGATCCAAACCCTCCTGCGTTCTTCCTCGTGTGCTCCGCAGGGGTGAAATCCATGGTCGCGGATACTCCATACCTCAAGGGCAATCCCGCTTGGCTGGAGACACTGGAGTCTTCCCTCAATCCTAATCCAGCAGATCGCCCTGATGCTTCAGAACTGGTCACCATGATGGAGCGAGCCAAGGCCCACCATTACGATACAATCAATCCCAACAAATCCAGTACGAGCTAACTCCTTGGCCCCTTCTTTCGTCGTATCGTCTAGACGAATGCCTGAGGCCCCATGTTTATTCCCCTTGATCCTTTGAGACCCACATGCCGCCACCCCTGTGATTCAAACTTGTTTCAATGCTTCAAGAATTCCTTCGACACTTTGGTCTGGGATCCCATTCACATCTATGAGTCGCCCTGGCCACCACATAGCATTCCTATGTGCCAGCATCTCTTCCCACGCATGAATCCATCATCTGCTTCCCGCCCTCCAATATGTTTTCTAAAGGAGAGATTAGGCAAAAAATAATCCATAAGGTCGTCTCAGTACCAAATAGACGCCCTTTTCTACTCTGCAAGGGCACTCGTATTACACTTCCTTCTCCTAGTCGATACAAATGCAGCGCCTCACCGCTGAAGATCCGCGCTGAATAAGCAGCCCTGGTGCAGCTGCAATACGTAAGTGCTCTATGAGCTCCATCCACGCACCAGCCACATCAGGAGATGAGGGGTGGCAAGTCTAGGTGCTGACATAGACAGTAATGCAGCCACGCCAGTCGTATCTGAAAGGGGCAGGGTCCCCACGAAAGCTAGAAAGGGCTACCCGAGTGGGTAAAGGATTCAGCTTGGCGCGTGACACAGGGCTGTGGGCAAGCTGTTGCTGGCGAGGGAGTCGCGGAAAACGCTGTTGGTATAGCGGCTGGGGGAGCTCCCTGATGCGGCGAGGGGATCCTGCGCGGGTATCGTTCGGTTATGAGAACCTACCATGGAGATTGCCGGGACATTCCTGATGCAATATCTATGAGCTCTATGTCGGGGACGATACATTTGGGCTCTGCCTGAAGTCTCCACTTGCTAGGGCGCCGGCGCGCGCAATGCTTTTGTGATGGCATGGGTCATCAGAATGAGATACGCCAGGGCAGAGTAAGCCGATCGTGCAAGCATCAGACAGAGTGCACTCCACGACTGCGCAGCGGTTCCCTATCTTGGCCCTCCTGAAGGCAGACGACCATCCCTGTCGGCAGCGGTCCAGCATGCTGTAAATATACTTATCCAATGGTGTCGAGCACCCAACTTACTAGACTAACCCTCTTGGCTCAAAGTGGCAGATTGTGGTGATATTTTTCATTGAGGCAAGCGCACTGATGATCACCCTAGGAGTCCCTCGATGCTCGAGCCCACCCTGCCACTTCTCTAGGCTCACCATGGAGCTCACAAGCTGACTCTGCCGAAATTTTTGGCTGGGACCCTTAGTCCCGGCCTGCTCCGGTCTCGTCAAACTGCCCTCTTGACTGTTGAACCTGGTCAGATACTAGAGTGCTGAAAGAAGTACTCAAAGCGTCAGTGCTGTCGCAGATTGTTTAAACGGTTGGTCACAGGCTTGGGCGGTCCAAGAGGACGGCAGGGTAAGAAACAGGGCAGATTACAGGGGGGTGGTCGCGACGTTTGATCAGCATACTCCGGAGAAACCCCCTGATAGGAATGCAAAGGGCTTGGAATGCAGATGTTTGATTCCAATTTATGGAACGAGTGGCCTGAAGGTGCATATTGCGGTGCATGTCTGCTTAACCAAATGATTAACCCCACATGCAGCGTTCCTCATAACGACTTAGCTGCATTAAGCAGCGCGGTAGATGACTAGATTGACGGCACAATGTATTGATCGAGGCTTCAAAGGCTCCCGCTCCATCCAAAACGCACCTTTTAGGAGGCAGAGTGCTTGACTGAGCTAAGACGTCAGGTCTTCTGATGCTACAGAGCAGACAGCACTGCACGCCTCGTGTTCTTCTTGCCCAACCCTGTTCCCATATGCTGCGAGCACATACCATGCCTGCCAACAAGCCTGAACCCAATGAGATCAAGCTTCATACTCGTTGTTGCAGCCTACTGGATCTCCAGCTCCTTGAACTTGTTGATGTCTGATCTGCAGGGTATTCAGCATGACAAGGTTGTCACGAGTGATCAGAGACATTGCACAGGAGGATGTGGGAAACCAGGTCCATACAGACAGCACCCTCTTCTACCACTTGCAGCCTGGGTGTCCATTGTACATGCTGCCTACCTGGTGAGCACGCCAGCTGGTGCTTCTGCTGTCTGGGACACCATGAATGGCACGCGAGCCATTGGCTGGTGATGGGAAGCCTTTGGCTGCTGGACCGCATGCTGTGGCTGAGAAGGGAGAAATTGGATTGCATCAAAGAGGTGTGAACATAACATGTGTGCAGCAGATTGCAAACTTGTGTGAACAAGACATGGTCCCAGAGTTGAATCAGCAACTGAACAACCATCAACAGTGCAAGCAGCCAGGCGGCGCACATTCGACATGGCAAGGCAACCAGAGGTTGGAGCAGGACCAGCCACGTCGTCATCATCCTCTGCCTCAGACATGAAATCCGACGGTGAATCAGAGTGTGCACTGCAGGGATTGAGTGTGAAAATTGGGGGAAAGGAGTTCAAGAAAGATGGTGGTGAAGTGAGCGCCTGTGGCAAAGCAACTTGGGGTTGAAGTGAGCGCCTGTTGCAAATGCACCACAAGGTAGGTAATGCCCCTCCCCAGCAACACATCTGTTGCTGGAGACAATTCGTACCTATGCGCTGGCGAATGGTGTGCCGCGGGAGATGGGGATGAGTGAAGTGGCACTTTCGCCAATCCTTGCTTTTCCTCTTCAAGAAGTTTCTTTCCAAACTCCTTCTTCCAAGCCTTGTTCGTCATACAATGAGCCATCATGGTTTTCTGCAACCGAAGAGAGCGGGAATTATCTGTGAGGCTGCATCGCCCACTCAAAGAGACGAGCAGGCAGCTGGGCGCATGACAAGTGGTGCCTGAAGTCAAAGACCAAACTCATCTACAAGAACAACACCTTGAAATGGTCAGTTGCACCCCTCCAGACATCAGGATCATTCATATTCTGAGTAAGCCTCGCCCGGATTCTGTCGTCCGAAGTAAGGAACGCACACTGTCAACAGGTTGCAACCCATAGTTGGTAAAGGTGAGCAGACTTTGCAATTTAGGGTAGGGGAATGGCACATGTTTAGGGGATCATCACCCCCCTGGATCAGCGCCAAGAGCAGCCTGCTTGGCCAATGAATGCTCCCGGTCACTCACCTGGCGTCCATTTCGGTGTCCTCTTCCTCGTCGTCCACCGGTGGCGGTGGGGGTGGCTGGCCGAGCGGGACTGGGAGCCACTCGTCACTGAAAACACGCAAAGGGGGCCCCCGCTTTGGACGTGAAGGAGGATACCATGTCCCGTCATGACTCTGCAAAGGGGTGCACTTACTCAGCAAGAGATGTTTTGTGCATGGTAGCTTGCAGATGCACATTCTTCCACGGAGGCATGTCCTCGCCCCAACCCCTCTAGCCCAGCTCTCCGGAGCGCTCACCATAGAAACGTTCTCATCCATGATTGCGTCAGCTCCCCCAGCTGAAAATTCAGTGTCTTGTATAAGAGAACCTTGTTATTGTTCCACACCGTGGAATTCCAGGCTGCGAGTACCGTGGAAAGAGGGCGGAGATGTGTCGGGGGCTCGGGCTAACGTGTCCGAGCCAGAACCTCGGTGACAGATTCCTTGATACGGACTGGCATCACCAGCACAAGAAAGAACATGTGCGTGAATGGTCAAGCGTGCATGGTGAAGCTCACAAGTAGCGAAATCCTTCGGGGGACAAATGTTCAACTTCGCGACCTCCCGCCCAAGACGCCGAGTGATGTTCAAGACTTACCACGAGAACTTTGGTAACTTGCTTGTCTTCAACAAGCACACGAGTACGTGTAGGGAAGGACTTCATCGAACAGCGCGTTGTCGCTTGTGGTCTACCTCCCCCCCACACAAACACATGATGATGGAGGAACCCAGGAAGCTGGTTTGGCGGGAGTTGAGATTTTGAACTGGATTTGCGGACGAGAGGAGACTATGGTCCAGGTTTGGCCTGATAAGCTTACCGAGTGAGCCAGATAGATCGCCTTGTTCGTAACGAGCACGACCTTGGCGACCGGGAGCGCCATGATCTGTGCAGTAGCGGGATGTGGAGTCCCAGACCAGCCAGGCCAACAAGGCATGTACCAAAGAGGCTGTGGTCCCCCCATGTCCCTGCATCGTGCGTGATGTGAACTGAGGGGAATTGACCGCTAGAGGACGGATCTCCTACCAATAAGGAAGAGGCTTGTACAATGCTACTCTATGGTCGCACTTCGAGATACTATACAAGAGTGTGATGGTGAGGCGTCACGATCCGCCCCAGCACCAATTTGTCAGGCTGTTGCACGCTGGTGTGCAGAGCACGGCATGGGCTTGAGCGGTACTTGGGCGTGGCAGGGAGAGGAACAGGGCAGAGTTGAAGGTGATGGTCGCGAGTTTCTATACGAATGCTTTGCGGAAAGCCTCTGATAAGGGAAAGAAAGGGCCTGGGATGCAGATGTTTGGGTACAGAGAATGGATAGGAAGGGCCTGAATGTGTCACATGGGGAAGCTTGCCTAAGAGACGAGAAGATGAATCAGACTTGCAGTGATAGGTCTGATGACGCAGCTGCATCGAGCAGCGCGGCAGACGACTGGACATGCGGCACACACCAGTGTTGGAGGCGCCAAGGACTCCGGCTGTAGGGGGCCACCTGTTTGGAGGGGAAGCGTCAGATTATGTGGGGATGTTGAGTATTTGGGTGCCACAGAGCACGGCTCATTGCATACCTAATGCCCCTTCCTGGCCTTTTCTATTCCCGCATGCCTTGAGCACATACACTGGCCTGCGTCATGCCGTCAAGTCATTCGGGAATACCCACGTACTTTAATCTTGCTTCCTATTGGATCTCCATGTCCTTGAACTTCCGGATGTCCGACCTGCTGGGACGCCACATTGACAGCGTTGGCAGGAGAGACCAATGACACTATAAGGCAGGAAGTGAGACCCCACAACCAATGCACCCAGTACCCTCCTCGACCACTTGCACCATGAGTACCCATCACAGTTCCTGCCTACCTGGTGAGCACGCCAGCTGATGCCTTTGCTGGCTGGGACACGAGGGATGGCACGCAAGGCATTGGGTGCACTTGGGAAGCTGGTGGCTGCTGAACTGCATACTGTGGCTGTAAAGGGTGTGATTAAAACCCATTAGGGAGTGATGAAACGATGTGTGTGCAGCCATGTCAACTTGCGAACTAAAGTTTGGGCCCAAAATAGATCAGCAAACGGAACAAGCACCAACAGTGCAAGCAGCTGGCGGCGCACCTTAGACATTGCACGGTGCCTGCAGGCAGTGTCAAGGCTAGCCATATCCTGGACGTTCTCTGCATCTGACCTCATGCTTGAGGCAAAAGCGGAGTGTGCACTGCAGGAATGAGAGTGAACATGGGGGAAGGGGTGAACAGCATTGGAAGGTGAAGTGAGCGCCTATGGCAATGCACCACAACGAAGATAAGCCCTTCCCAAGCTTCACATCTGTGCTGCTAGAGACGCTTTGTACCTATGCACTGGCGACTGGTACGCTGCATGAGATAAGGACGAGTGGTGTACCACTTTCTCCAGTGTTTTGGTTTCATCTCCAAGAAGCATATGACCAAACTCCTTCTTCCAAGCCTGGTCCTTCATGCATGTAGCTATGACAGCCTCCTGCAAATAGGAGAGCTCGCGATGCAAAATTGGGCTGCATCACTTGGAAACGTGTAGGCGAGCAGGTAGCTGAGTGCATGACAAGTGGTTTTATACGCCGGAGACCATTGCATCTCCAATTAGCACACCTTGAAAGCGTCGCTCATGCCATTCCAGGCAGCAGGATTCATCACAGTCTGGGTGAGCTTTGCCTGAATACTATGGTCAAAGCAAGGAACGAGGACCTTTAATCTATTTGATGGTGATGGAAAGGCAAGGGAAGGCCGCATACCGACAAGGGCACGGTGGGCTGCATTTGGCACATCTTCTGGGGACAATAGATCTTCCATGCCAGCGTTTGCAGGGTTGCCAATTCTCCTTTAAAGATCCCAGTAACCTACGCATTGTCCAGTTCAATGTTCTCTTCCAGTTGGTCAGTCGGCACTCGCAGGCCGAGTGAAGCCATGATCCTGAAAAAGCTCCTTGGGGAACAGTCCTCCTCATTTCCATTTGGATCAGGTGGTCCGTAGGAGCTCTGCATAAAGGTACAGAGAGTACATACTTTGCGCCTGCACAAGAGCCACCAAGCGATAGCCCATAGTCGCAGTGAGGTTTATTCACCGGGACCCCCCCCCCCCAAACCCAACACACACACACAAACGCAAAGCTGTCCGGGACGCTTACGCCATGGTCTACGCGGGATGTGGCTATGGCAGGAGCTTTACCCACGACAGCAGTGCTATGAGTGTAGATCCGTTCCTGCGCTTCCTTCGCACTCTTTCCGGCACATCTTCTGGGGACAATAAATCTTCCATGCCAGCGTTTGCAGGGTTTCCAATTCTCCTTTAAAGACCCCAGTAACTTACGCATTGTCCAGTTCAATGTTCTCTTCCAGTTGGTCAGTCGGCACTCGTAGGCCGAGTGAAGCCATGATCCTGAAAAAGCTCCTTGGGGAACAGTCATCCTCATTTCCATTTGGATCAGGTGGTCCGTAGGAGCTCTGCATAAAGGTACAGAGAGTACATAGTATGCGCCTGCACAAGAGCCACCAAGCGATAGCCCATTGTCGCAGTGAGGTTTACTCACGGGAACCCCCCCCAAAAACCAACACACACACACCAACGCAAAGCTGTCCGGGACGCTTACGCCATGGTCTACGCGGGATGTGGCTATGACAGAAGCTTTACCCACGACAGCAGTGCTATGAGTGTAGATCCGTTCCTGCGCTTCCTTCGCACCCTCTTCGTGACTGCAGGTACACAGAGCGTAGGAGCATGAGGCGCGGTCACGGTCGGACACGCGCCGAATACTACTGTGCACGGTCGTGGATAAGTATACACGGTTTAAATGAGAGATACACCCTTCGAGCATATATAATTACTCACAGAGGGCCGCGGTTTCTAGGGGCCAACCTCGGGCTGAAATCATCCTCGAATTCGGGCGACATTCTCCTTCAACAGATGCTCCGTCCAGCGATTAGATCGATGTATTGTCGGTCCAAAAGCTTTGTACGGAGCACGATCTGGCCAAACGTCGTAGCTTTGCTCATAAATGATGCTGCCCCCCGAAAACACATTACTTACGGGATGGCGCGGGAAACCAAAGAACATCATGCACAGCATGCCCTCCGGTTCCCATTCAGCCCTGGCACACAAACCATGACACAATCGTCGTTGTGACGCCTTTGATCTGAACAGTATGTAATCCTCTATTGTAATTAAGAGAGTAGGGCCTCTCGCGTTCCGCGCGGACCGGAAGGTAGAGCACTCGTAGGCCGAGTGAAGCCAT